CCATAAACCATATCCCATCGCTCCGTAGCTCAACAACAATCGTCATTGATTAGATATCTTCCCAAAGTTAAGACTTGTGCCACTCTGTTTCGTTCTAACCTCTTTCAATATTAACATACTCAAAAGACACCTTTTCTTCCCAGTATATACCCCTTTTCGATATCCGTTTCCTCCAGGCGATTCCCCTCGGTACCTACCCAAAGGCAAACAGAACTTGAACTTCAGGCTGCCCTTCAACTTAAACTTTGCGAAAAACGGGAAAGGATGTTTGCCATCCGTTCATAAACAAATCAAAAGCACTTGGCAAATTTTATCAGAAGAAGTTCAAACACCGAAATAACGAATGATTCAGCGCCAGTGCCAGTTCGAGTTCGAGTTCCAGATCCACTAATAAGCCGGCGAATATTTCATTTTTATGATGTTTCAACATTGCATTAACATAAGCCCTGATGCTGTTGCTGTGGCTGATGCTAATCTCTTTTTCCCATGAAGTGGAATCGAGTCGATGAAACATAAACAATTTATTATCGTGATTCATTTATGAAAAGCTCTCTTATGCTCCTCTCCCCTGCCCTATGCAATGATTATTAGTCAAGATGAGAGGCTCCAAAGCTACCGATCAGCGATCGATCTTTCATATTCCAAGCGGGTGGTCCCCAGAAGTCTCAGAACAGAGTCCGACTAGAGTAAGAGACTACGACTAGGTCGAAGCCGGCTTCCCTGCAGATTAATATCTCAAGACTGTGTAGAGCGCATTTTAATTAGTGGCGATGAAGTCGAAACTTAATTTATTGTCACTCTGGCTAATGAAACACGCCTTAGAGCCGGACTGCCGACGGCGAAGCCCCTTCGGGCCAGACCCCACATAATTGACCAATTTGGGGGTGCTGTGCGCGGAGGGTCTTATCTGGGAGATGGCTTCGAAATTGAAAGCGCACACGCTGTCAATAAAACAAATTAGTTTGAATTATAGACGTGGCTTCTATTTCTGTGTGACTCCGACTCGGACTCGGACTACGGCTCGGACTCCCGAATCCGGAATAATTTATGCGGCGTCGGAAGCGATCGAGCTTCAGACTGATTCAGACTCTTCTGTTGTCTGCTTTTATTTGATTATAATTACGGTTGGCTGGCTCTGATTCTGGCTCTGGCCCGTCTCTGGTTCTGGCCTGGCGCTGCCTCCGACTGCTCTTCGGACAGACAATAATATCGGATTTCAAAAGCGGCGTTTATGTTCACTGACCTGGACCTGGAGCGCCTCCTCCTCCTCCTCCGCATCGCTGCTCTATCAGGCGCCAATAGTTCTAAGATCTTGTTTTGATTGCGGCTCGGACTCGTTGACGTTGCATTCTTCTGCAGCTTCTGGGGCCTCTCCTGTTCCGTGTCCCCCGTGGCTGGCTGTCTGCTCAGTGGCTTGAAAAACCTTTAACTCGTGACAATGTAAGACAAAGTCGCCGGCGTGTGGCTTGGCCAGAGACAGAGGCAGACACGGGGATAGAGAGAGACAAAGACACAGATTGGATTCGTTTTGGATTTCTGCATACTTTTCCTACACTTTCCTAACGCTCGAGCCGCTCGACTTTCTTTCTTTTGTTCGTCCGAGCCCCGTCCAAGGCGTCCGATTCGGTGCAGCTGCAGCCACCTTGACGGCGGCAAATTAATGACATTTTGCACTTCATTATGCGACTCTGCGCGGCTGTTTGACACTTTGAAGTGAGGCACTCGTCTGTGGCGCCGAGCGGAACGGAGCGGAGCGGCCCAGAAGAGGCCGGGAGGACGGCTCGTGAGCTTGAGAGAAGGTTTGCTTGCGGTTTGCCTGCGAGCTGATGTGCTGTTAGCTTTCCGACGAGAGTTTGATGACATCCCACAACCGGGCACCAGGCCACACACTGCCACAATGCCATAAATGTTGGAGAACTCTCGAGCAAGCAGAGGATGAAATACTGCTCTGAAATGGTCCTCAAATGCTGGAGATCTTTCCATGATTGCAATTCAGATCATATGCCAGAACGGTACTGATGATCCTGGTTAATAAACCGATCGAAATGCATTTTAAAGGTCGAGAAATGGGAATAAAATAAATACATTCTTATAAATACAGCCATGGATTCCTATTCCTTAAGCTCCCACTGATAGTATCATAATGAGACGGTCGTCTGGGGTCGTGCTGTGCTCTGGTTCTGAACAAGAATCATTTTTGTATCGCCCATACATTATATATATCAAAATACTATCCACAAAACAAGCCCACAGCCAGTAAGATCATTTATCTAAAGAATAAACAGTTTCCAATAATTATTATTAGTAAATAAATGAATCAAATGACAGGCCCACAAAGAAGTGAAGGGCTGAAAGTTTAAAGAATAGCAAAAAAGGTTTGAAATGGCAAGGAGTAATAGAAAGCACTTTGATTTAAATATACAAAATATAACAAAAAATACATATAAATATTATAATATAATAAATATAAAATATATATAAAATCTGAAAATGTATTAGCAACACTTTAAAATAAATAGATTATATTATAATAAATTAAATTTCTATAAAATCTATTTAATGTAAATATGAAAATATTTTAAAACAAATAATTTTAAATGAAAACCCTTCACTTGAATGGCATAAATATTTAAATCTAATTGAAAATATTGCAATTTCAAGGCTTTTCTGTCTGGGCGTGTGACTCAAACTTTTGGCACATCGCCTGTACGATCCCCAATGGTTATTTTCAATAAAAATGGTAATGCCAGGGATTACCGATTCCCTGGAACTCATTAAATTGCAAAAAAATATGAAAATGTGGTCTCCACACTCCCAAAGACATGGGGCAGAGCTTTGACTCACTTGAGCAGATTTTAGCACCTGGTGTCTTGGGGTGATAAGGTGGACAATGATTTTTAGCTTAGATAAACACAGAAAGAGGATCGTGAGTGATCGAAAGGGTGTAACATTTAGTTCTACAATAAATCTTAACGTATTATAATAATAATTTAATGAATATGTTTAAAAAATAATAATATTTTCCATATATTCTGCATACAAATAAGATTTGTTACCAAATTGTTGAATCTTTTGCTGCTTAATGATTCATCAAAGGCTATTAGAGTCGATCGAAACTGAATTTCGCTTTTGAATGCCTTATCTATGATCCTTTCCATGGATTGGAATGGGAATCCCATGCGCCCTGTCACTGTTACAATGCTCTCGTAGAAGTATCTTCTTTGGTGTCTTGAGCACACCGGTTCATTACAGATTTTTGGCGCCAATCTCTGAACAAGACAGCGGCAGAGACGGCGACAGAGAAAGAGAGAATCAGTTCCGTTTGGTACGTGTCACAGGGGCAGCTGTAAGACGGGGCAACCCTCCGAGGGCTGAGGGCTGAGATGTATTTCAAGATGATCGGCTCGAGCTACGACGGGTAGGGGGTAGGGGATAGGTGGCAGACGGCGTTGGGGTTGGAAAAGTAACGTCCAAAACTGCAGTTCCACCACCGCTAGGCGGCTGGTGATGCTGTCTGCGACCGGGAGTGGGACCACTGCTCAGGGGCTGGTTCCGAGCACGGTGAATGGTGAATGGTGAGTGCCAGGTAGATTCGCACGTACCTTTTGGCGCATTCCAAGGCACTCGGCAATCGGCACTCGGCACTCCGCTCCGACCAGGTATATGCGGCGGCACATGCGCAGCCGGAGACCCGCCGGACCCGTTTTGGGGTGGCTGCAGGACGATCGCTGGAAGTTTGCCAGATGGCAGAATTTTTCAATATCAAAAATTGAAATTTCACGGCCTTTAGGGGTTTGTTTGCCCGATTGCACCTAGCCGGAGGAGGAGGAGGAGGAGGCCCAGACAATGGGCCTTGGGCCTTGGTCCAGGAAGAGGCCGATTTACCTCCGATATCTGCGCGGTTTGTTTGTTTCAATCGAGTGGGAACATGGCATTGCTGTTTGTGGGCTGGAGATTCGATTCAATGGCGGACTCTGTCACGTGCTGCCAGAGTTTTGGCAGCTGCCAGGAGGAGGATCGCCGATAGAGATCCTCCGCATGAACGTTTAGCGATGCTCTTAGCCCCCAAGAGCCCGATCTCTTAGACGCCCAACCGGCAATCGGGGCACGAATGAAATGTGGAACAAGAGCGCCAGCACTCGGAAGAGAACCGAAGAGCGTAGGACACCCAACGGTTGCTCCAACGGCTGCAAAAGCTGCTCTTCGGTCGGGCCAAAGAGCGGGAGAGTGCCCGAAGCTCACCTGCGCGGAGAGAGGGGGTCGTGGCGTGGCTATGTACAGCCGATGGCTGGTCGGCAGAGGCAGGGCCCGAGCTATAAATAAACTTGCTCTGCAAGTCGTACATAAGCTCGGCACCAGCTGCACTCGCTCACGCTCACGCACACAGCCGCAGCGGAGGGGAAATCCAAGCCGAGAGCGCGAGAGCGGAGAGCGCGAGAGGACAGAATTAAATCTCAGACGCCGCAGCGGCAGAGGCAGCGACAGAGGCAGCGACAGCGGCAGCTGGTGGCGATCGTTCGCGTCCAGAGCCGGTGTGTGCGAGAGGGACAGACAGAGGCAGAGAGCTATGGCACGTGCTCGCTTTTTACACACAGATTTGCTGCCTCCTCTCCAGCACTGTGGCACGGAACAATGTGCAGCTGGAGCAGCGTTCAACGAACGCACAGCTGTTGGAAGACGGAGACGGAGGTTCCACAGCATTGTGGCTCGTGGTGGTTGATTTACAGAATCCCTATTCGAAAATCGGAAGTAGGTAGGGGGATCCTTTTCGCATGCCAGGGGGTTGGTGTGGCTAGGGGGTTGATCTCGCACGCGGAAGTCTATAAAATTAAACCGATCCTCGCCGGGTTGCATCATTCGAGCCAGGAGCTGCCAGCGATCGAGACACACGCGTGCGAGGAGCCCATGAGCGAGCAGTGATTCGAGTCTGAAGTGAAAGTGAAGTGAAAAGTGAGGATCAAGCCACACCAGTGACCACGAGGAGCAGAGCTATCCCCGATATGGATAAACTCAAGTACAGCAAGTGCCCGCTCAAGAAGCGACCCATTCCGATCGAGGATGCCTTTCCCGTCGACCAGGATCAGGATCACGATCAGCTGAGTCATGGTAGGTTCCAGAAGCCCTCGGCTCCCCCACCCGCCCGCTGTAGCTCTAACCTCTCGCTGATCTTTGCAGACGAAGGACCCGTGGACCTCAGCGTGGCCTCGGCTGCGGTTCCGCTGGAGCCGGCGGTGCCCACGGAGCTGCGACGCCGCTTCGATGCGGCCATGACGCAGACCAAGGAGCAGCTGGCGCGCCGCATCTGGGAGGAGACCCGCGAGATCGCACGCGCCTTTCCGGATGTCTTCACCCGCGAGGAAATAGCCCGGAGCCTGGCCCGCCTGGGCTACGGCGACTTCGAGCTGCCGCCGGAGGAGGAGGTGATGTCGCCGGAGCCAGAGCCAGCGCCACAGCCAGGGCTTCCGGTCAGCTATGCCGGGGTCTCTCCGCCCCCCACAGCGATCCCGCAGACGATCATCAAGGTGGAGCAGCCCGAGGAGGATTTCCCGCTGCGGAACTACAACAACAATCTGCTCAAGAGCATAGCCGACTACGAGGACTGCATGAAGATGCCACAGCCACAGATGCAGCCACACCCCCTCTCGTACTACCAGCCGCCACCAACCCCCGGGCTGCCGGAGGATCTCAGTCAGCGCCGGGTGCTGAGCGAGAACATGAATCTGCACAACGTGGCCCGGGCCCTGCTGAGCATGCAGCACATGCCACCGCAGCAGCCGCGCTACGAGCCACCCCACCAGAAGGCGGCCAAGCTGGAGCTGCCGCCCCTGGCCGGGGCCGGTGCCGAGGACACGGAGAACGGCGGCGAGAACGGCGAAAACCAGCTGAACCAGCTGAAGATCAAGAGCAGCAACGACCTGTACTACCAGTGCCAGCAGTGCAACAAATGCTACGCCACGTACGCGGGCCTGGTGAAGCACCAGCAGAGCCACGCCTACGAGAGCACCGAGTACAAGATCATCCGGAGCAACCCCAGCGGGGGGCCGATCGTGGACCAGACCGAGTTCTGCACCGACCAGGCCTCGGCCCTGATCCAGGCGGCCAACGCGGCCTCCGCCCAGTCCATGCAGAAGCCGGTGGGCGTGCCGCGCTACCACTGCCAGGACTGCGGCAAGTCCTACTCCACGTACTCGGGCCTGAGCAAGCACCAGCAGTTCCACTGCCCCTCGGCGGAGGGCAACCAGGTGAAGAAGGTGTTCAGCTGCAAGAACTGCGACAAGACGTACGTCTCGCTGGGCGCCCTCAAGATGCACATCCGCACCCACACGCTGCCCTGCAAGTGCCCCATCTGCGGCAAGGCCTTCTCGCGGCCCTGGCTGCTCCAGGGCCACATCCGCACCCACACCGGGGAGAAGCCCTTCAGCTGCCAGCACTGCAACCGCGCCTTCGCCGACCGCTCCAACCTGCGCGCCCACATGCAGACGCACTCGGACGTCAAGAAGTACTCGTGCCCCACCTGCACCAAGTCCTTCTCGCGCATGTCCCTGCTCGCCAAGCACCTGCAGGGCGGCTGCCACAGCGACGCGGTGGGCGGCGCCACCTCCGGGCCGGGCTTCAACCAGGAGCAGCTCCAGCAGCACCTGCACGGCTACGAGGAGGGCCATCAGGTCTACTACGCCGGCAGCATGGGCAGCAGCGGCGCCGAGGAGGAGGAGGCCTACGCCCTGGCCCCCCAGGCCATCTTCTAGTAATTCCCCAGTAATCCCCTAATCGTAGTATTATCCCGCGTAAACCCCCGTAGCTAAGTCAGAGTTCAGGGAAAGTCAGTGCCAAAAATTAGTCAGTGCAATTTTATTGCCTCTTAGGGTCTCCAAATTCTATTCTATATCTAACATATGCTACTCCTAGGATATCCTTGTTGTTTGTTAGCCATTCCTTGGGTGTATATTTGTTGTTGAAACTCGATGGTGTACAGATCGAAGCGGTGCCAGAGAATAAATCTATATGTATCTGTAATAATTTATAATTTCATTCTACAATTTGTCCTAATTTAGTTCATGATTTAAGCCTTTATTTATATTTATTTTCTTAATCAAAAAAAAACACTAAGAAAACACAAAATGGAAAGGGTTTTACTGGCACTTGGAGCTGGCAGATCTTCAAAGAAGCCCAAGTATCGGCCCAGATCGAGGCTCTGGCATCGCGTTGGAGCGTCGTAGGTGGAAAACTGGAAAACTGCCTAACTGGCGCTGATCGAAAAGCTCAAAGCAGCCGTCAATGACTGGCCCCCGCAGGGGGTGGCAAAGAAAGAGGAAAATCCCCACAGAAAAATATATATATCTCTGCTTATGGAGTACAGTATGTACTCGTAAATGTGTATATAAAATCGCTGCTTAAATCAAAATTAATTGCCAGAATAATAATTGTTTTGAACGTAAAGCGCCGAAATGCAAAAGGCAACGGCAACGGCAACGACAGTGGCTGTGGCTGTGGCAACGACAGTGGCTGTGGCTGTGGCAGTGGCAGGAGAATTGGCGCAGCTGCAACTTCACTGCGTCACCAGCAGCAACAGCAGGCGGCAAGCGCCGACAACAGCAACAAACACACAACGAACCACAAATGTCTAGCATTTTGGGGGCCCGCGAGGGAGACGTTGAAATCCACTCGAAACAACAAACAACGCGATGAATCATCGAACCAGCAGCAGCAGCAGCAACAACAACAACAACTTGCCACAGCCGGCTCTTGGTGCAGGCGCACGCAGCTAGATGGCGCTAGTGGGCAGCACCAGCCGCAGCCCCAGCCCCAGCCCCAGCCTCAGCCCCAGACCCAGTCGCGAGTTCAATTAAACGCGTTTTCCAGTTGTCGCTGCACCGATTTTCAGCTTTTCCGCACTGCAGCCGCACCTTGTTTCAGACCAGATCTGTTCTTGGATCGACAGGCAGGCGGTGGGGCGGATGGAGGGGGGAGGGGCACTCACTGGCTTTATTATAAATGCCGTCCACGCAGTTTCCTACTCTACAAAGCTGCAGCTTACTTGTACCCCTACAGAAGGGGAGGGCCAGGGGCTACAGGGGTAGTCTTTCAATCCATATTGATTGATCACGAAATGGGCATCAATGAGGTGGAAAGATACTTCTAAACACTTTATTCTTGAGAGAAGTCCCCTTTCGATTCCCCCCCCCAACCCCTTAGGGAACCCCTTGGTTCTCCATCCCTTAAGCCCCCAGCGAGTGTATTCCCCTATTCGTCTGTGCCGGACATCCACTGCCTCCGAATGGAGGCCCGCCAGGCCGGGTTCTGGTAGTCAGAGCCGCCACTTGAAAGTCATATTGCATTTGCCAGACATTTGCCTGCCCGTGCGCGTGCCACGCCCCGTGCAACGCACATACGGCCGAGTGGCAGGCTGTTCTTGGTAGCGGCTTTTGGTCAAAGGTTAAATCAGACGGGGACCTGGGGACCTGGGGACAAGTGCCAGGCGGCTTAGGAAATCGTTTAGAGCGCTAATTTATGGCCCGTCGCAGCCGAAAAAACGCTCGAGTTTCGACGTGCTTTGGCCGCTTAATTGGCAGTCGGTTTTAGCCGGGTTTTCGGTGGCAGCACGCCCTGTTCTCAGTGCTCTTTGGGCCCGGCCGGGGCTGGATAATCTCCAGTCTTTGAATGCACTTTTAAATGCACTTTTCCAATCAAATCAAAATATCCCGATAATTGTTATTTAAATTCAGAAATTCAGTGCACGTTTTGCCTTTTGCCAGCTCCTTGGCCGTAAATATTTAATAATTTCAAGGAGCGGACATTATGGAATATTACCCGTACCAGGCGGCGCGCCAATCGAAGACAACCCGTTCGTTGTTGTTGCTATTAGCCTTCTGTTGTTGCTGTTGTTGTTGTTGTTGGAGCTGTACGTGTTGTTTGCTTAACGCTTAACGCCGAGTGTAAATTAATATTTAATTATGGCTGTTCTCGGCTCCGGCCGCCACCGCGATCGTGTGTTGAGTAAACGCCATTTTCTGTATTAAGATCTAATCGGGCGGGTGTTTGAAATGCTGCCAACAAAACGTTTAGCCCGAGACACTTGGGGTTTGGGCAATCGATTGGGGCCTTTGTTTTTCGTTGGGCAATGAACGGGTGCCTGAAATGGGGCCTTGATCGGAATCGTATACGAAAAAATACACATTTATTGGTCGAAAATTGTATATGGAAGGTTTATCTGGCAGATCCCAGGGGAATGCTCATTAACCCTGGACGGCAAGCACTTCTGCGACTCCTTTCCGGCTCGGGCCATGCCACAACTCATGCCACACACGACACGAACTCCAGTCGGGTGCCGTGCACTCGTCGACGTCAAATTAATCAAATGGAAACCCAAATGCAGCGCAGCCAAATTAGCCCCAACAACAAAATCAAGTGGCAAAAGCCACAACGTATTTTTTTCCCACACCGAGAGGCGATCAAAGCGGACCGAATGATCCGCAGAGGGACAACGCCCCTGAAATGGAATCGATATAATTATTTGCATTATTAATAATTACCATTGTCTCGCTTGGATTTGGATTCGGAGTCGGAATCGGATTCGGAGTCGGAATCGGAGTCGCTTTCGGAGATATGAAATTCAAATTCAAATTCGAATGCGTTGGCGTTGGACCGCACACAAAGCCATAAAGATTAGCTCTGTACGAGTTCTGCCTTTTCCCTTCCCCCCCTTCCGACCCCCTCTACCCGTAAACATGCAAAAGAACAAGCCAGACTTTGTTTCGCGGCGGCTAATTAATTCAAACCGCAGCAACTTCAATACGGAAATAAGCTTAATCTTTGCGCCGCAAACAGCTAGAAAAAAAGCAATTTGAAAAAGCAAATTTAATACGCAAGCCCCCGGTCGGACTGCGATGTGGAACTGAGGCGCCAGAGGCAAGACAATTGCACCAAACCGACCCGAACCGACCCGCCAGTGTCCAAGTGCCACCCACACCAGAGACAGCAGAGGAGGCACTAGAGGAGGCGGCACCAGGGGAGGCCTGTGCGGGCCCGTCAACGGCCACAATGAGGCACCGCTTCAGCCGGGGCGACAGCACATATCAAAGCCCGAAATGTGCCCGAGACAGGCCCCAATCTCCGAGCGCCAAACGCTTCAACTTGTCAGCGCGCCAAGTGCTCGAAAAATATGGATTATATAAAGAAAAAACAGTGAGCCATTGTTCTGTGCGATGGGCGTTCAACCCGCACAGGTCGCCCCATCGATGCCACATGGCGGAGCAACCTGTTGCGGACACCCAAAGACGACGGATACCAGTGTAGTGCCTCGAATCCCCCACACACTTACCCGGGGCGGAGTATTCTCGGCAGAGAACAGGCCACTGCTCCACATATATAGGGTATGCCCCCACCGCAGCAGGGTATGCCACTCAGAGATGCGGCGGGGCGTGGGCGTCAGCGCTGAGACGAAGACAAAAGCCATCCAGTCGCCAGATTGACATTTGCCTTTCAGCAGCCAGCACTCGTACGGGTGCGGGTGCGGGTACGGCTGCGAGTACGGTTAAAAATCATATTTTGCACGTTTCTTGTGTCGAAACGAAACAAAAGACTTGAGCAACGAACTTGGGCTGCAAAGGGCTCGGAGCCGGCCTGCTCGCTGGCTGCTGCCTGGCAAAGTGTCAAGTTGCGCAACTTGTCAGTGCCCCCCCTGCCCCGCGCCCCCGCTCCCCCGCCTGTGCATAAAGCCTTTTTTAATTAAACCGACGACAGCCACTAAACATGCCCCATTATCATGTCGTATCTATGCGCCTATCAGGACCGGGCCAGGACCGGGGCCTGGAGCCGGGGCCGGCGCTGACATAAACGCTGACATTAATTGAGTAATTTATAACGATGCCAGGCTTGGGGGCACGGGAGGGACTGGGGGGGTAGATGGACTCACATCAAAAGCTCGGCTCGGCAAGCGCATGTCTCGGGGCGCTCAAGAGAGGAGACATGATATTGTTATTATTATTATGATTACCGGCGACATGAATTCAATTAACACTTGTCAGAGCCCCGGTGGAGCCCCCAAAACAAGCTCACGATTCGCGGGCATAGATAAGTTTTTTTTTTTGAAATTTATGTTTCGGCCGCGGATCGGGCCACAGGCCACAGGCCGCAGTTCTATGGCCAAGAAAACCTTTTTGGGCCCGCTGCTAATGAGCCGAACATCGCCGGACCGTTTCTGCATTTAGGCCTAATAACTGTCCGCGCGAGAGGTCCCGGCAGCCTCCCGAAAAAGGCGCACAAGTCAAGGCAAATTAAAATAAGAATCACGACAGGTTACCATGCGATGCTCCATCTCCATCTGCATTGCCATTTCCATTTCCATTTCCATTTCCATGGAGCTGCATGCGGCACAAACACGAAATGCCGCCACAAAAGAGAGAGAGAAATGTACAAGTGTTAAATGTCGAACGCTTTTTTGGTAGTCCGCCGGGGGAAATGCGTGCTGGCCGGCTTTCGGCACGAAGGCAGCCCTCCCCTGCCCCCCTGCGCCTCTTCTTCGAGCCCCTGATGGGTCCGGTCCCTGGTCCGACAAATGGCGTACGTGTTAATGGCATTTGAATTTGACCAAATATGGAATTGTCTCCGCCGGCTGTCACTTTGCATGTTCCCAGAGGCTGGCAGCAAGTGAAGGCCCCAATCCCCCCCACAGTCCCCCATTGGCGGCCCCAATGCCTGCCAGAAGTCGTGTCTCTCTTGCTTTTTCGAATTAAATCAGTACCAGTGG